TCTAGGGGAGGTTTGAAGGGCTCGAGAAAGATGTCTTTTGATGTAGGATGATGTTTTAATATCTGGTGAAGCTTTTGAGATGATTTGATTGAAGTTTTGGCAGGGTTTATGAAGAGGCCAAAAAAATTCCTAAATTTGGATTTCAAAATCAAGGCTTTACAGTAAGTAGGAGTGCTAAGGATGTGGGGGATGGGTTGATGAGGCTTACAAGAGGGTCTAGGATAATTTTAATAGGGCTTCACCAAGATGTTGATGAAGTGCTCCTTTTGGCCATGGATGGGGTCTCCTTTTATAGGCAAAGCTAAGTGGGAGGAGACAGAGAAATTTGCTGAGCAAATATTTCATAGAAAGGATGGGTGATTTGCCCTCCAAATGTTTCATCCAGACAAGCTCAAAGGGCGCATTTTCACAAAAATTGGAGCTCGTCTTCCTGGAAGAATGAAGCAGACGGGAGCTTCGGGAAGATAAGGACTTGGGCATAGGGTGAGGGACAAGGTCAACTTGTCCTTTGTCGAGTGCAAGTGAGCCAAAATAAGAGACAGAAAACATCATTTGGTCTATTTAAGTGTTATTGCGTGTCATATTTTTGTTGTATTGTAGCAATATTGGTGGAAAACCACAACGGAAACCCCCTCAAAATAGTGTAATTTGGTTTTTTGTGGAGTTATGTGGGATTAATGGAATTGTTAGAGGGGTTATTGAGTTTTGGCAGGTGCTATTAAGTCTCGAAAGCTTGAAGTTTATTTGGTTGTATTTGACTTTCTTGGGTGGAATTATGCTGTAGGAATGCAGATAAAGTCAAATGGTATGGTTTAATTTTTAAGAGGTGAAGTAATTTTAGTGTTATGGCTTGAAAAAAAAATCAACGATTTGGTGTTATTGTGGTTGTACCGCAGTAGTTTTTTGGTTGGATAAGCGATTTATTAGAAAGGCGGGTGGTATTGGCATGTTTTCCTCAGTGATCTGGTGTTGTTGCACGGGGAACAACGTGAGAATGAGGTTATTGCGCGTGACGTAACAATGGGTAGTATTGCAAAGTTATATTTTGGTGTTATTGTGGATGTATTACGAGACGACTGTGTGGTTCTGTGACATTATGACAAGAGCATAGATGCAATATTATTATTGATTAGATTGCAGTTGTATTTTGACGTTATTGGAGGTTTTCAACACAATTTTGTGGTAGTATTGAAGGATTTCAGACTTCGTGTTATTTGGTGTTATTGACTCGGGTTTAGCCCAAATCAAGCCCAAATAGACCTACACTCATTATTCACCTCAATTTGACTCATATTCACACGACAAATCACAATTGGTGACCTGAGCATAGCCAATTTGGTAAAATTCAATTCAATCTTGCGATTTGATGAAATTAGGTTGGATTCAATGTTGATTTGGGTTTGAGTTTGGTAATTTTGGATTTGGGCTTGGAATTAGAGGAAATTGGGTTGGGTTTCAGGTTGAGCTTGACAAATTTGGATTTAGGATTTATAATTTACTAAAATTGAATTAGATTTAGAGATTTTGGTAGTTTTGGTGAAACTTGAGTTTGGACTTGGGCCAATTTTGGGATGTTTGGCATAAATTAGGGTTAGGGCGGTGGTGTGAGTGTGAAAAGTGGGAATTGTGGTGAGTGTGGTGGACAAGGCAACCTAGAGTCTCAATGGTCCTATGGGGACTCTCTTTGAGCTCCTTCACGTTGGTCTCACCCTCCTAAGTGCTGGAGGTAAAAAAACCACACATGTAAAACTCTAAGAAGAGCAAAGAGATGGTTTGAGCTTCTAAATTGAGATGGGTCCCATCTCTAGGATTCTAGGATAATCAAAGAGGAAATCCTATGACTTGATCCTAAATCATAAAATGAAGACCATACCTCACAAAAAATTAGGTCAAAAAATACGTTTTAATTAACTTTGTGCAGAGCATCCACAAGAGTATCGTGGGTAGGAGCATCGAGTGGGGATGCTACTGGTTGATTGGAACTAATGAGCTGTTTAACTTTGTCCAAGGGCGTCATGCAATTGGAAGTATTTTTCCAACTTTATGTTTAATTATTCATAATCAAAACTATGTGTAGTTAGTCCTAATCACTACAAATTCATGAAGCCTGTTAATCATTACAACTTCAGACAAATGATCTGTATAATTAGTATTAGGTGCTGCTAGTTCATTAGGACTAATTATCTATGTAACAATCTTTAGAACAAAACATCTCAACTAGAACTACCGTCTCTATAGTAATTTACAATGACTCTTACAACTTGCTATCACTGAGAACTACATTCATT